TGATTTAAGTTCCGAGATGACAAATTGTTTTCTATGTATCGGCATACCTTTTGAGACCTTCTGTTCATTGATTTATTAAGGTAGTTCTCAACGTGTCTTAATACAACATTATCGTGCAAACATAATAATGTGTTGATGCAGATGTGGTAATAGCACATGTGGTAATGGTACATTTTTATCAACAGAGCTAATAGTGGCTATCTCAATTTAAAATTTTAATTTATTCTATTTAATCAGGTAGATTTATTCGATTGGCAAATTGCAATTCCTTTATTGTAATTTCCGTATTCATTATATGAAATTTTAATTTACAAAATCAAAACAGGAAGCTTATATGTTATTTATTTTGCTCCCTCATATCTACATAATATCCACATACTTGTAGAGGTTGTTTACAATTTTGTATATCTTTGCCATAGAATTTATTTTAGAATTTTAATTAGTAACATTATATAAGTTTAAAAATCAGGAACAATTTCGAAACAACTAGAATTCTTTTAATTCTAATATCCTTTTGTTTTATTTACGGGCATTGTTTATACTATTTTTAAACACAAAACAAAAATCTCAAATGGAATTTCAAATTATATCATTAAAAGTGATTCGGGTTTAAGTTCTTTTTTTTCCATATTGTTTTTAATTTCTTGTTTTAGTAAAATAAATGGAAATTTTGTATCCAATTTCTTTTAAAATAATTTCCATTAAATGAAATAGAAAATAATATGGAGTAAGCAATGTCAGGATAAAAAATTTTGAAATTTGAAAAAAATTTATGTGTATAAGGTGCATCATATCTTGTATCCTTTGTCTTTAAAAACAAACAAGACATTAAATATGTTCTCATTAATATTTTGAGTATTTCGAATAGTTTTTAAATCAGTTTTTAAGTAATTATTTAAGGTATGTAAGGTCCTGCTCAAAAGATTATCATTGAATAATATGTAATATACAAATTCATATTTTGGAAGCTGTGATCACAATTACGCCCCATTTACAAAATCACAGTATTCGTCAAAATGCAATTGTCCTCCTATTAAAAAAATTACCTCTCCTAGTATAATTGTTTTTTGAATTTTCGCAACGAATACGCTAATACACGATTTTTTTTTTGTACGATCTTCATCGTAAATCTTGAAAATGAATATATTATTCGTCCATTATCATGAAATGGTCATCTCTTGTGGTACATATGTGGTCTGTCCAGATTTTGTGTCCCACTTTAGTGGAAAATATTCTGTGTGTCAGGACGCGACTAATATATCTGCTATACTTTGTATGTCTAAACGTTATAGTAGCATTTTTGTCTATAAGGAATCACATTTCTCTTTAGATACTCCTTTTTTCCTTTTAGATGTGTCAATTATTGTCTTGATACCCTATACCAATTAAAATTCTTATATTTGCCTATCATTCTTCCTCTATGTGGTATTCCGAAAATAATTTTGTATTAAATTGTAGCGCTTGTTTGTGCTATTCTTTATATGTTCCTGTTTCATTGTGCTGTGAACTTTAATAAGAAACCTTAGTGGTAATATAAAAACTAATTGAATAAATTGTTTTAACACAATCATCTGAAAATACAAACACATATTCTAGAATTCTAAAGCCTGAATTTTATGTTATTATAATGAGTTTTTTTTTTTCCATACAAGTGTTGTGGCAGTTTGATTTTATATATGCTATTTTAAATAATATTAATTATTGCATCACGTCATCACTAATTGAAATTAATTTTAAGCATATTAATATTCAAAACATACTGAATAATATTAATAATAGAGCGTGAATTCAACGGAGAAACTAAGGAATTTTAGCCATGTGAAAATCTGTAATTTACTGTGTTAAGCAATGTAATTTTAGAATTTCTTGGAAATAACAATTTTGTTATGAGAGTAATTTGTAAGTGCTGGCTGAGAATCTTCTTTTTCTAAGTATAATGTCAAGAGAATATTCTTTGAAGATCATTTCAATTTTATTTTAAAAATTTTTGTTTAAAATTATTCTATAATTTCAAAGAATTTCCTTTTTTTGATACAAAAATTGAGAGTGTTGACTTCTTTCTTACCCTTAATAATTCTTCTTTATTATTTTTACATCTCTGTGTTGTACATAACCTCACAGAATGATAATCACCTCAAACGTCAGTTCTTTTTTCTCTTTGTATATTTGGTAAAGTAAAAGAGAAAAATTTTCATTTGTTTATTAAAAGAATAATGTTAGAAAGTTACTTTGAAAAATCTTCAACTTTTTTTCTCGTTTCCTCAAAAATAATTCAAAAGAACTTTTTTTCTACCCTTACACAAATTTTATAATTATTTTATTTTATAATTTTTTTGTTTAAAATTATTATTATTGTTTTGTAAAGTTTTATTTTTTTATATAAAATAAAATATTTTTCATATTACATAGGAAGTAACTGGTACGGTATAGGTACACCTACTTTTCTTAAAAATCTAATTAAAATTTTCACTTTTTATTTACTTTTATAATTATTATTATTTTTATTTCATCTTTATTCTACTTTTAATAAGTTTAATAATAAAAAGTTCTTATATTTTTTTAAGTTTAGCTATTTTTATCTTAATTTATTAATGCTATCATTAATATAACATTAAAATTTTTCCCTTATAATTTTTATATACTTAATATAGAGTAGTAAATATCAGTCTATTCATTCTATGAATACGAAAAGTATTTTAAGAAAAATATTGTTCTATTTTTAATAAAAATAAATAAAAATGAGAAAAGGTAAAGTTGACCGTCTCAACTCTGTGATACCCTGCACGAATAAGTTTAATTGATTGCCAAACTGTTCGATACGTTCTCTGGTTTTTTATTCGTCTGTGTAATTCAACAGTTTGCATAATATTATATGTGCAATTAAAATGATTTTCGAAATTGCATGGCAGGTACAAGTCAAGGGATTCCAAATACTTTTAGAAAATATAGGAGCCATAATAAAATATATGCTTGTGGGAAATTTCAATACGGTAGATTCTGAGATTTCTGAAATATAGTGAAATAACTTTTGAAGCTGTAGGGTAGCAACACAAAACCAGTACCTCCCCTACATTCAATTTAAATAGGGTTCCGAGATTCACTATTATGTTATATCATATGAGAAAATTTGGTGCAAAATGTGAAACAAACAAACATGGTTAAATTGACTCGGAATTCGACGCTGATCAAAAACATATACTTGAGTCTACACCTTAAACCATTATTTTTTAGCGTTGAAAATGGTAAGATAAATTTAGTATACCCTTCGAACATACGTTCGTACAAGAATAATAAAAAAAGCAAGTAGGTATTTTACCTCAGTAATAATATTTTTTATCATTTAAATCCCACTAAGTGTAAATAAGAGAGGAGAAAAAAAATAAAAAAAAGTCTTTTATTTACAAAATAATAAAAAAGTTCTAATTACTTTCGTCGTATTAAAGAAAAAAAATAAAAGTCTAGTGTCAACATTTCTTAAATTCATCTGAAAACCGAATATCAACGTCGTCGCATCGTTTATGTACTACTTTTTCTTTCTTCTTTTACTGTATTAAATATTTGTTGTTCTTTATAGTTATTAAGTTATTTATAATTATTATAATTTAAGGCTACCAGACCTGTCTTTTTAGAGGCTCGAAATTTTGTTGTACATTTGAATATTTTCGTTAGATATTGAGCTTTTTTTTTTCTTTGTTCAATCCTATGAGGAATATAGGGCTAGTGATATCATAGACAGTCATGTCTCAGTTTCATTGCGTCATAGAGGTTTTTACAAAGGTACGTGACTTAACCACTGCAGCACTGGTCAGATATTAACCTTTACTTAGGTAATAAAAACAATTTCAATGTCCATTAAATTAAAGTTGACAACAACTGTATAACAGGCATTGCATTTAGAAACTGGTGGTGTTCGTTCAAACCCCGGTCAAATCACTAACTCCTTCAATAATTTCCCATCGCTTCCCTCTGAAATAAAATTGGTTATTCCGTATTGTGGCTTTTTGTTAAATCAAAAATCTATTACGGAAATTCGAAAAGAGGAAGCATGACCGTTGCTTTTTTGGATGTAAAAAAATTCCATTTTTCCACTTTGGCCTTTCGCAATATTCGATTTCTTTTTGGTTGAAAAAAATGTGTAAATCAAACATTTGGAAGTCATATTTTAAAATAAATTGTCTCGAGAAAAAATTATCATGTAAGAGGTCGACATTCAAATGTCTCAGTCGGGAAATAATTTTGTAATTATTTTGGCTTTTACAGGTAACGCTGTCAAGTAATAGTGTCCTCGAAAAAAAGTTGAGTTCGATATGGGTCATCATTTTCCAACTCCTTGCCAATTCCATTTTTTCTTTGTTTATCATGGCAATCCTAATAGATTTCACTATTTCATTATTAATATATCTTATTTGCACGAACAATTTTATTTTTCTGCCAAAATGTTTTTATTTACTTTCTAAAAAACTTTAAGTTGAAAACAATAAACCGAACAAAATCCACCTGCTGTCAAGTTGGTCAGACTCGCTTATGTACTTAGTGAAAATTTTTTGCCTCTTTATAATATTATTTTGACTAAAGTTCTTTGGCGGTAAAATTAATTTTGTTACTTTTGGCTTTTTGTCTCTTGTTTTTTTTTCTTTTTCGAAATGTCTGAATTCTAAATGAAATGAATGAAAAAAATATTTTGAATTTTTTTCTTTTCCCTCTTAGCTTGAGTAATGATACAAAAAAAACAAAATAGAAAATGAAACAGATAATAATGTTAAGTATGGAAAATTGTACACTTGTACAAATTATATACCAACATTACATACATATATGTATAAGTCAATTATAATATAAGTATGTAAAACTAGTAGATGGCGCTATATGCAATCATATTTAGAACAAAACAGAAAATGAAAATGTTTATATAATATGGAAGGAAGCCAAAGCAAGGGAATGAAATACTTGGATCTTTTCCAAAAGTTAAGATGAAGAAAAAAAGAATAAAACAGAAAAAAATGTCTGGAACAGAAAAATGTTGTACACAAGCAGACAACATCATACGTGAAAAAAAAGCAAATCAAAATGGAAAAATGAAAGAAAAAGAAAACTGAATGAAGATTTTTTCTTTTTCGACTTCCTTATGAGAAGAATTTATGCTTTGATTTTTATAATTTTTTTTTACATCATTTTTTAGCTTCATAGCTGAAAAATTTAGGTCTATTTAAGTTTCACACAAAAAAAAAAGGAGATTGCGCCAGTTGCATTTCGAAGCACGAATGGAAACGTGTAAAAAGTGTAAAGGACAAAAAAAAATTTTTTTTTTGTAACTCTTTTACAGCAATTTTTTATTATGTGCATTGTATGCCGTCTATATCTATATAATATTATGAAAATGCTTGTAACCTATCTGTATAAACACACACATCCGAACACAAAAATTCACAAATGTGTCTATGAAATTATACTAACGGAATTTGTTTTAAGAATTCTAGGATACTTGCGAAAATTAGATACTTAAATTTCGCTTCAAATTTTAAAACCACAATGTTTACGTTACTCCTCCATTTAGAGTGTCGCAACTTCTATTCTAAGAAATGACGCGATGAATAAAATTGCTGTAAACCAAATTCAATTTGGGTGCTCTACTTCTCAAAATTCGTAAGATTTTGTAGCATCAAACATTTTGTATGAATCTTGTTTGATATGATGAAAGTTTGATTAAAGTTTGCTGTGTGTAAAGGTACTATAATGGTGTTCGACAAAATATTTCGTTTGATAGAAAATTTGGAATGTCACTGAAAACTTCACATAAAACATACTATAAACTTCACAGTATTGGCCATCTGTATAGTAATCACTGTACTTATTCTATTCAAAAACCAGGCATGAATAAATTTAGCAAACCGTGAGCTTTCTCTAGATTCCATCGCAGTTGACTGATATTTTTATATATTTCATGAAACCGGTAAGTTTTGGAGTGAAAATGAAAACGTTCTTATTTTTATATTTTACTTAATCTGTAACACCATATACATTTTGAGTTTAATAATGTGTCTAGAATCATATAAGCAAAAACAAAGTGAATAAGTGAATATTTTATGTAAATAAAATTTACATACTGAAAATTACAACTTTTCCATACATGAACACAAAAAAAATTATTCCAATTTCTATAATTTCTTTATCCATAACATATTTTCACTCTGCAATATAGAAAAATAAATTTTATTGGATTTTAGGATTTGCAATAAATTTTTATGCACAAGCCTATAAGTATAATTTTAATAAACATCAGAGTAACTCTACGTACACAGCAAATATAGAAACGTATAGTAAATACATAAATGCAGTGGGATCATGTAGAGCTCAGGACTTTTGTATATTCATAATTTAAAATAAAATAATAAAGATAGGTGGATCCATATTTACTCCTTACAATTTTCAAATTAATGTTATTATTGTAGAGGATAACAGTGTGAAAATTATGCTTTTAAACAATTTCAACAATTGCATAAATTTTATATATAAATTTGTTACTTATAAAGCATTTTATAGATATTGAGAATGTTATAGAGTTGCAGCAAGTCAATTAAATAAAATTTTTTTGTTTTCCTATATGAAAATTTTTAAAATTTTTTAATCAATTATTTTATTTAAAAAAAATAGCAATATTAATAAATTTTAATTTTTTTTTCTCATTTATTTCTTCTTTGTAGGATGTTGACATTTATTCAAGATCATATAACCCTGGGACACTTACAAAACAAAAATTTGAATTACTTGGAACCCATGAAGCAGTTAAAGAATCGCATCGATCATATTTTGTTAATCAAAAACATCATAAAGGTATTTATAGAAAGAAATTCATTAAAAATGTTTAAAATTTTCAGTATTTGAATAAAGAGGAAAATAATTGACTATAATGTTATAGTCAGGCGCCACTTCACTAATACACTATTTCGGGCTTCAATTTAGTATCAATTAGTCAGTGGGAATGTTCACATATCTTTTTAATGTATAGAGAAATTTTATATTACTGCAATGTGCTCGGTATATTTTACGGCAGGCATTTTTTGAACCAAACTTGCATTCTAAACATTCAGTTTAGGATCATTTTTCTCTTTCAACCGTGTATTCACTTAAAATACTAACTATATCAGACTTGAAAGTTTAAAAATGTTTGCTACATTATAGCATAAATCAATGACTTATGTAGGATATGATAATTATATAAATTATAAAAGATAGGGATTATTTTGGAGGGCTTTATTGCCTTTTGACATATTGATTTCTCGCCGACAACAATTTGCCGACATTTAAATAAGTCAATATTTTGAGTCAACGTATGCAGTGTAGTGCAAACTTTTGACTTTTGACATTTTCAAAGAAAATGTTATATATTATTATGGTATGATGTATATGTATGTTGACTTCATTCTACAGGCACCAATTTTGCTTGTTAGTCAACTGTTTAAGGGTAAAATGAGCATTTTTACTGAGCACAGTTTTGCGAGCACTATATGAATTGCGTTCACCCGCTAAGGGCATTATGCTGGTGTGAATTTGTTCATGATGATACTCCAGAGAATGCTGTTCATAAATTTTAAAATGTAATTGCACTATAGAGCTGGTCATTTTACAGATAACAGTTAAATATTCGCGTGTCTTTAAAATTCCATCAAACTTATGTCAAAATGTGAGTTTTTCTTATATTTTAAATTTTCTATGGCCGAGCTATCGAATTTAATGTGTTTTTTTAAAGTTTAATGTGGCAAATTCAATTTTACAAAATTTATACTGCATTTTTTTGTTAAGTCATACACCTGTACAATATAATAATTATAATATATATATATAAATATATATATATATATATATATATATTTATATATATAATGTAATTAAGCATAAAAAAATTCAATTAAATTTACAATTAATCTTTGTTTAGTTTAGAAAATGAAAACAAAATTATCTACCATTTTATTATACACCGAACATTATTATGCTAATTAAAGTAACATGAACCACTTAGAAAAAACAAAATCATAAAACGTAAGAAAAAATGCAATGATAACCGACTGATTTTCATTTTAAAATTTTAATTTCATTATACAAGCTCAATAGTTTTTGCAATGCTTGTGTTCATGATACCAAAATGATAAAAAGTTCACCTATTATAATGGTATACACTAGTCTATTATATTAATTAAAATGTAAAAATTCTGTACCTTGTTACATACTTACCATACATAACAACATGTGTGAGATAATTGAATATTGGTTGGTAGCAAAAACATAACATTACAAGTTTCTCCCCCTCCCACTCCTTTCTCTTCCTCTTCGTTTAAATTTAAATTATGTTTTTTTCTTTTTTTCTCTCTTTCTCTCTCTTTCTCTGTCTTTTCACGGATTAATTTATTCATTTCAATTCATTTCAGTTTCCACAATGTAAAATATATTTATGGTTTGATTATATCTCGGATATTATAGTTGTGGTTAACATTAGTTTAAAACGAGAAAAAAAATAGAGTTAACCTTGTCAACTCTGTGATACCCGTACGAATTTGTTATCCTATTTGCGAATAACTAATGTGCCATAACTAACTATGGGGCAGACTATGACTTTAAGTTGCCGTATTACCATATTAATTTATGCAAAATTTCAGTACTATGTGTTATTCAAAATACTGGTTGTGCCAAACTACTAATGATGTTGTATGGCAGCTACCAGAAAGAGCCAAGAAATTTTAGCGAATTTTATCAAGCACATCGGCCCTACTAATATACTCACTTGTGTGAAATCTCAATATCACAGCTTTTATAGTTTCTGAAATATAGTCAAATAACTTTTGAAGTTGTATGGCAGGTACCAGAAGGAGCCAAGTAATTTCAACGACTTTTATGTGGCATATTGGCCCTACTAATATATTCACATGTGTGAAATCTCAATATCACAGCTTTTATAGTTTCTGAGATATAGCCAAATAACTTTTGAAGTTGTATGGCAGGTACCAGAAGGAACCAAGTAATTTCAACGACTTTTATGGGGCATACTGGCCCTACTAATATATTCGTTTGTGTGAAATTTCAATACCATAACTTTTATAGTTTCTGAGATATAGCCAAATAAATTTTGAAGTTGTATGGCAGCTACCCGAACCGGTAACCCGATCATGTCCAATTTAAATAGGGTTCTGGCACTTACTACAATAAATCATTTGTGAAAATTTGTTGAGCTTAGCTCAATTAGTTTTTGAGTTATCGTTCGGACGGACGGACGGACGGACGGACAGACAAAGCTAAATCAACTCAGAATTTGACGCTGATCAAAAACATACACTTGAGTCTATATCTAACACCGTTATTTCTTAGCGTTACAAACGGTAAGGCAAATTTAGTATACCCTTCGAACATACGTTCGTACGGGTATAAAAATTTTTTTTTTAAATCATTCATTATGGTACATACATTATGTACATACATGAACTAAATCTCATAAAATATTGTGTATTTGCAAAATTATATTGAATACCGATGTTATTTAACCAGTAATGTCTAATAAATTTAATCTATTTGAATTTTCCATAGTATGCAAACTTTACGGATGTGCTGATTTTTATAGATACAAAAATAACAAAAAATTAAAATCGGATATAGTCGTCTAATTGAATTATTGGTTAATTTTTAGAAAAACATGGAAAATATGAAAAAATTTTAATTTCCTTTTATTGGAAAAGAAATCCTCCGGATTATGGAGGTACTCATTGCATAATATAATGTTCGACATAAACTTGACGAGAGTAGGCAGACTAACCGTATCAGTTCGTAGATGTTCGACTGAGTTATTTTTTTTAAGGGTGTGGCACGAGTTTAAAACTATTCGTTTCTGAATGTTGGCCCCATTGTTACATTTTCCTAAGCAAAACATTTTTTTTTGTTCCTGCTTTATTCCTCTTGGGAGCATACGGCTTCCACAAAGCTTCTCCAATGAACTCTGTTAGAGGCTATTCTTTTTACTTCTGCCCATGTCACATTAGCCGTGGCGATTTCTTTCTTTATTGTTCTTTGTCACGTATTCTTTGGCCGTCCAGCACTTCTTCTACCCTGCGGACTCCGCTCCAATACCTGTCTTGCGATGGTTTCAGGCGGACGTCGCAATGTATGGCCTATCATCCCCATTTTTTCTTCCTTATAACCCTTGCGATTGGTTCTTGGTGGGTTAAAGCCCAGAGGTCTGTGTTGCTGATTCGTTTGGGCCGGAATACATGGCAGATAATCCTTAGGCTCCTATTTATGAATACCTGCATTTTATTTGTGTATTCATTTTTCACTAGCCATGTTTCAGAGCCATACAACAGGACCGGCTTCACACATGTATTGAATATTTTCAGTTTTGTATTTCTGGATAAGTTTAAGGATTTCCATATGGTCCAAAATCTGCCGAATGCCGCCTTAGCAAGCTTTAGTCTATTTTCAACATCTTCTTTGACCCCTCCGGTTGTCGATATTATACTGCCGAGGTAGTTAAATTGTTCGACATCTTGTGTAGCGGTTGTATTTATGACGAAGGGGATAGTGTTTGCTGCGTTGATTCAGAGTGATTTGGTTTTTCTTTTATTTATTTTCAGATCGATATTCAATTTTGCTTGTATGTCTGAATGCGTGTGGGATAGCAGAGCGATTTCCGTGTCCAAAGCTCTCTCAAAGTCGACGAATGTTATGTATAGTGGGGATTTCCATTTAATCGATTGCTCCACAATTAATCTCAGGGTGGTTTGAGTGGTCAGCTTGCTCTTTCCATATAGTGTCTTCAATTTTCTGTTCAATTCTGGACAGAATTATAAGTTCCAGGACCTTGTTGGCTCTGGTCACGACAGCTATATCCCTCCAGTTGCCGCACTCTCTGAGGTTGTCATTCTTCGGGATTTTGATAATTATCCCTTACTTCCAGGATTCCGGGATTCTTTCACTCTCTCGCATATTTTGCAATATGGGCTGAAGAATCCAAGCAATACTTCTTATATCGACTTGTAGTAATTCTGCGGGGATACCATCGGGGCCCTTTGCTTTGTTGTTCTTAAGTTTCTTTAGTGCGTCCATGATTTCTTGCTGAGTGGGAGGGCCTGTGTTTATTTGAGGATTCTGACCCTGGGGGGTTCGGGCGCATCTTGTCTTTGTTGTTTCCCAACTTCTTTGGGATGCCAACTTCTTCAAAGTATTCTCTCCATCGTTGCAATTGTTCAGGTGTGGAAGTTAGTAGATTGCCATTTTTATCTTTGACTGGCCAATTTATCTTGGTGTTGTTCTTGGCGGGCGTTTTTACGCAAAGAATATTAATACGGTTATTTCAACAGAAGAGCGAATACAGTCATTTGATCTGTCACCAGGAAATACTCATGAACATACGAACCGATTACCGGATAATAATACCTATTTCAACTCAAATTTCAACCCTGAATTTCAACACCTGTTATTTCACACCCCTACTTTAATACTCTGTATGATATTCTAGCAATTCTTAAAATTATTCTAGATATATTTTATTTTTAAAATTTAAATTATTTTCAACAAATAATTTATTGATTTTTCTTAATTCTTTCATATATTTATAACCATTTTTTTTTGTTTTTTTGTAGATTTAGCTACAGCACATGTTACAAAAATAAATCGTGAAGCTAGTTGTTCAATACCAAAACCACGTATCGAAAGAATACAAGGTGATGCATCAAAAAAATATGTTCCACATTGTACAATATTACATCGATGTAGCGATGATACCGGTTGCTGTTCATCTGATTTAAAAACTTGTGTTGCAAAGAAAACACAAGAAGTGGATTTATTCTTTTATGTAAGTATTTAATTAGAATTCAGTAATCGTATATTGTAAATAACAACTTGTGGACCACTTTATATTTATTTAACTTGATTAAATTCAACTGTATATGAGTTTTAGTCATATTCATATTGTAAACTATAGCACAATTTTTTCAAATATATTAATATACTTCATATGGAACCCCTATTAATGTATTTATGATAATAACCATTATTCATAAATCATTTGGATTATACTAGGGTATTAAAGTGAGTTTTTAATTAAAATTTTAATAGAAAATTTGTTTTTTCATTCACAAAATTTTAATCTTGTAATTTGAAATATTTGAAAAGGAAAAAAACAAAAAATGATTTTATTATTCATAACAAGATATTAAATCAAATTATTCTATTCATATTTTCAAATTATTATTATTGACAAAATTATTTTTATAATAATTACTTTATTAATTAAATAATAAAATAATTCAAAAATTTTATTCAAACATGATAATTACAAATTAAGGTTTTTTGCTTCTCTTAGTAAATTTTTAATTATTTCAACATTTTTTTAAAAAATTAAAAGGGTGTTAATCACTCACAAAATTCCGTGTTTGAATTAAATTCAATCAATGAAGCATTTTTGGCGCTAATTCTATATCACTTCGTATAACATTCTATTATGCGGGTTATTTAAGTATGATACATAATGTGTTATACTATTATAAAATAATACACGCCTTACTGAGCATTTACATAAAATAATTAAAAATAAATTAATAAAATCACAAAAAGCTAGATAAAAAAAAATTTTTAGTTTTATTTTAATATTTTTGAATTTATCTTAAAAAATTATGCAATTTTTATAAATTTTAAGGCTTAATATTATAATTTAATTATGATTAGTTTAATAAAATGTCATTTGAAATAATTTATCTATGTCATATAAATTAATTAATTTTATAATGATATTATTTAAAGACAATATGGTTTTTAGTATAGAACAGATTTTTATTTATTAATAATTTAAAATTTTGTCAGCATTTTGATTAGTTTTTATCTAAAGATTAACAAAATTTTAAAAAAGATTTTCATATTTTTTTATAATAATTAATATTTAATGTTATTTGAAATATTTAAAGTTTGGTATTAAGAGATAATTTGATATTATAATAAATTATATTAAAATTTACATTACTAACCAAAATTTAGGTCAAATTGTCATGATTTAAAAATTTGAATTCTGTTGAATAATAAGATTTTGTTTAAATTAAATTTAGACTGAAGATGAATTATTAAATTTAGTATTCCAAAGCATATTTCTGAATCTAATTTAATAATCTTATTATGAAAAAAAAGCCCTAAAGTTCAACGCGTTAAATGTATAAAAAATTTTAATTTATTTTATAAGATTTAAAACAATTTCAGGTTGGTTTTATGTCAACAATTTTTTTTAGAATTTATTTCTTTAACTGTCCACTCTTATTTTGATTAATAGTGTCTGATATCAATGAACTTGAATACTCAATTTCCAAAGGGAGTACCTCTCTAATTCCTATTTGTAACAATGTTATTGTAAACGGGCTACAATAAAATAAAAATTGTTAGGAAGCCAATATAAGGACTTATAACATTATCTTGTGTTTGTTTTATCTCTAAAATTTCAAAACAGTGCAATCCATACCGCTTCTAATTAATTTAATATTATTGTTTAATTATATTTTTTTTTTAAATTGCATACTTTTCGGGGCAATTTCAAATAATTTATATTTTTATTCTATTAAATACAATTCACCATCATTATTACATTTGATTAATAAATTATTTTGAAATCCTCAAATTTTTCTCAAATCGTTGGTCCACAATAATCCAAATTTTTTACGTAATTTTAACAAAAATAATAAAAATTATTGAAATAATTTTCAATTTGTATAATGCAAGTGGCTAGGTTATTTCCACCATATTAATCTGCCACTTGTGTTTAGTAAATTTAAAATACTAAATAGGTTATTAGGCCAAAGTTAAAACCGGAATTAATCACTGAAATATGATTTGTGTAGTTGTTTTTTACTTAATATAGAAATAGGGTCAATAAATCTGAAAATATCACTTTTATAATATCACCTCTTAAAAATCAATTTTATAAAATGCACATATTTATAGCTCATATTCATATTCTACTCTTCTTATTATATTAGAGTTCAAATTTTTAATTCACGGCAATTTATCATTTTAAAAAGAAAAATTGAATGCATCTTGATCACTCACATATTTTCAATGGCTGTGTGAAGTTGAAAGAAAATCTTATTTAAATGTCCAAAAACAAACAAAAAGTAGATTTTAACTTTTGACTTAAGATGAAATTTATCACTTGCATTTTTTTTTTTAACTCATCTTCTTTTTTAACAACATCTTTATATCTAATTTACATAATCTTAAAGAGTTACTTTTGCTTCTTCTTCTGTCACTTTAACACTTTTTCAAATGAAACGAGTTTTTCACGTCATACCACATGACCTATCTATTTTCATTTTTTCTTTTTTTTTTCGTATTTTTATTTTAATTTCGTTTTTTAATACAAGGTCTTCTGTCATTTACACATACTACAACTCAGTATAGATATAAACGTAAATATTTACATGTTTGAATGCATGTTTGTTGTACACACATATTCTACGATGATAAATAATCGAACTGAACTTAATGAAACTCTTTATAACGATAATGATGACGAGTGAATATTGTACTTAACATAAGAATTTTTCATCATTAGCAAAGAGTCATTTAAATATTTTTTTACACCCATACAATCCACTGGTAATTAATTTTAATAAAAAAAAAAAACAATTTTTTTTGTTCATATAACAGTATAGAGGGAAATAGAGAGAGAGAGAGTGACAGAGGATAATATCGGTATGGTATCATGTTACGTTGCAATTACAACCATTTTCAACAACATATTATAAGTACATAATGTGTCATTGAATATTTTATTTATTATGCTTATATGCGTACATATATTGTGTGTATTACTGTACTTACACATGTGTTACTTACTCGTTCTACTCGTATAATATTATGAGTAGAGTACGTGCAGAAGAGTAATAATATTTTGCAAAAAAATAACTAAAATGAAAGAGAATAATTTTTTTTTCGTTTTTTTTTTTATTTTTAACGTTGATCTTTAATTACAATGTTTTTTTTTTTTTAATAGAATATGAGTACAAGTACACATACATTGGAAAATAAAAAATTAAAAAAAGGAAAACAAGAAACTCATCATCAATATTATGACAGATATGTCAAAAAAAGAAAAGAAAATAAACAAAAACGTGTACCAAGGAGAGTAGTTGAACCGGTTAATATTAAGATAATTTAGATTTTTGAAAAGGAAATTTTCAGCATTAAAATTTATGCAATGCAAAAATTTATGCAATGAGTTCAGACGTACTGAAATGATTTCCATTTAAATCAAATAGATGGCGTATTTGGATTCCGAATAATTTTTTAAAATTTCAGAATTCATCAAAATTCAAATTATTTATTGTGTTAAATAGTGTTTATAATAATCTCTCTATACAATACCGGTTTTGTATAGAGACTCTCTATACGGTCTGCATAATAAGAAAAATTTGTGTACTAATAGTAATAAATTCCGACGCTGTATCATATCGTTAGTAAATTCACTCGTGTACCTCTATTTGCCTGCTTCATTCGGTCGTTCGTTATATCGGTCTTTCGGGAAAGCGGGTTTTTATTTTATACGAGCAAGTGACACTTGGTTTCTGGCACAAACACTTATTTTTACTGAAATTAAATTTGTTATTTGTGCAAATTATTTAAATCTTCTTACCAAAAAAGAAATTTACAAACTGTTTTCATGCGCTGTTCTATTGTTTTAAGGAGAATATTTCAAATTCAAAATCTTTTTTTGGTTTTGTAAAGTCTGCCGTAGATTGTTTGAAAAAAAATTTAGCAAATCTACTAATTTACTCATTTAGTGGGAATAAAATTGATTCATGGGAAGTACGAGTTTTTCATGTATATCGGGCTTATTAATCTCATATATTTCATCTATACCGGACTTTTAATTCAATACAAGAATTCAATTAATTTTATATATACAATTCACATAATCAAGCACAAAATGTTTTCAATAATAATGGTTATTATTCTATTAGTGTTAAATAAAATCCTTGAAAATTTCATATAATAAAATATTTTGAGGCCATATTTATTTTTAAAAATTACCCTCCAATCATTCATATTGAATATCTTTGATTTTATTCAAGTATCATTTTTGTTCTTCGTTTATTTTAATTAATATTATTACTAAAACTGAATAAAATTCATTGAAATAAATGGAAAAAAAAATATTTCACAAAATTTAATTACACTGAAAAGAACTTTTGTTTTTTTTTTTTTATAAATTGCTTAAAAAAAATATTGTAATTAAAAAATTAAGAATAATGATTGAAAATTTTCATGACTAATGTTACCATTTTTTGATTTTCTTTGTGTGTCTGCCAGCATGAAAATCATTGAATTTTTTAAATGAAATGAATAAAGCTATGTGGTGTCTAAAATAATGTTAAAAACTTTTCATTATTTTTCTTTGTTGTTTTTGAATTATTTTAGGATTAATGAAATTTAATAAAGAATTTATTAACGATTAAGAACAAATTAACAAACTACATGGTACACAACACTTACATGACAAAAGTGATTATTATGACTAATCTCGCCAAAGGCAACTAATATTCACTTAATCATGTTAGGTACTGACTTTTAAATTATAATCTAATTTTTCAACTCTGATATCGAAAGATTGGAATCCGATTTTACATAAAAATTTTTACATAAAAAATTTTTATTTATAGTTGCCATTATACGAGTTTGCCGGTAATTTCTTAATACCTCTGTAATTCCCAGTCTCTGTCCAGAAAGCGGTAGTGTACTGGCTCGAATCTAGTTTGAAGAGAAATTTTTTTTTTATTTTTCTGCCTTGACCCGTTTTTTTGATTACGTTTTTCA